ACTGAAGAAGTCTCTTGGACGAGAGACGAAACGTTTAACTAAAGAAGAACCCATCCAGATGACCTACTTATTTTTTCTTTTTGATTTTTTTGGTCTTTGTATCAATCTGCTAAACCAACATGTCCGTAGTGTGGATTTTATTTTTTATTTTTTTTTTACCAATGAGTTCATTATATGAAAATGTAAAACAAAAATGAGGTAGAAGATGAGAAATTGGCTAAAAKTGTCAGCACTGGATGGGAAATAATGACTTGGCATAATATTAGAACATACGAGTTAGCTGGACTTTTGTCAATTTGAGTCAATATGATGGAAATTCCAAGACAAATTCTGACAGAAGGGATGAGGTGACAGCTCTAACCACTTTGTAGCTTTGCCACCTTCAAGAAATCACATTACAAATGCTTTGATGGTTTTGGCATATTGTTTAAAATGAAAAGACATATTCCAGCTGTAGACCAGTTAAAGCCCATTTCCTTTGCAGATCTGTACATGAAACTAGGTGCTACCAAACATCGTTATCAGGTAGAATTGTATTTTTTATTGTATTCTWTTCAACTAAACACCGACAGAAAGGATTTTTCACCACTTGGACTGACTGGAGATTAAACCAACCTTCCCTTTWGGAGACATTGGGCCTCATGCAAGAACGATTCGTACGAACAGATTTGTTCTTAACTTGTGCGTACAAGTGATTTAGGAGAATTTGTGGCATTCACCATTTTTTTCATATTGAAATATTTTTTTCAGATACAAACAAAATTCACGAGTGGTCCAGACCTGTCGTATTTTTTACGAGCAGTCAGTCTACTGTTATCCAGATGGATTTTTCTCACTAATAACTCTATATTTCATTAGTTTGAAGATATTTTAAGTTGAAAATAAATTACATTCCATAATTATGTTGACAATAAGTTATTCTGTTTGAATTAGAATTGTAATTTTAAATGTCATAATGTAGACTAATGACATAAATTGGTTACATTAAATTAAATTGGCTATTAAATGACAGCGCAAAGTAAAAAGAACTTCACGAGTTCGGAGATTGAAGTTCTGCTCTCAGAGATCTAGAAAAAAAATCTGTCATTTTTAGCAGCGTCAGCTGTGGAATTAAAGGAGCTGCTAAAGCAGAGGGATGAAAGGTGCTGTTAATGCTGTGTCTCCTGTGGGTCGTATACAGTCACAGAAATAAAAATCTAAATCATTCATCTCTTTCTAGTCCTGCCCCCACCCCCACAAATAAATAAATAAATAAATAAATAAATAAATAAATAAATAAATAAATAAATAAATAAATAAATATTTCAGGCACTTTGGAGAAAAATAGCATAGCTGATGTGCTTAATAAATCTGAACAAAATAAAATTTCATTAAAAATAACAATCTATAATGCTTATTATATACAGAAACAAATCAAACTTCAATGAAAGCATAATTAAGGTTGGTTTGTAGTTTGAGATCTTCATATTAATATTGTTGTGTTATACAACAGCATTAAGAATAGACACTTCCTGGAATGTGGGGCAGGAACGTATAGCCTTAAAAGGTGTTTTTGGGGTGGTAATTATGTTAATCTCCTCTCCTCGTGCACGAGCACCTGGATACGAACAAGTGGCATTCGTCAGGTTTACGCAGCTCATTTAAGCACTTTTCCTGAAGATAGAAGAGTTTGTTGAATCTGACGTGACATGTTCATTCGAACAAAAGCAAGAGAAATTTAGGATGAGAATACGAAAACGTTCTTGCATGCGACCCATTTACTTAAACATTTTAGTTACCTTTTTTGCTAGACTGAACTGGGGAAGCTTGCAGTGTCAAAAGCTACAGTAGGAGTTTGTTTTGTCCAAAATTTGTTTCAGGACTGACCAAAGAATGCAGACTGGAACACAAGGGCTGGAGAACAAATTAAGACTTTAATACTTTATTACTACTACTACTTTACTTTAATGGCAAAAACAAAMCAAAACAAAYAATAAATAAATTAAAAAACARCTGACAAAGCAAACAAAACATCAGAGAACTAGCGGAGGAGCACACATGGAACAGATGAGAGCAAAAACAGTAAGACAAGCTGACAAAATATTAGTTTTAATGTTATTTTTAGCATTGTTAGAAATCTTAGCAGATGTTAGCATCAGAGAAAGATGTCATCAGGGCTCTCAAGTTTTATTCTGAGCTTGGAGTGAGATTTTGAGCAACTGACCGCGTTTGCTAACTCCTCAGTAAGAAATGTTGGTATTGGCTGTACTAAAAGCCATGAAAGATGTCATCACAYGATTTGCATATTTGGACATTTGTCAATAATTGYGCTGTAGGAGAGATGCATCTCTATATTGACGCGCAAAAAGTGAGTAAAAACCTTAAAAATGTTTAGAACTAATTTAGAAATAATTTCATGATTTAATGCTTGGATTCAGACCAATATATGATACAYGGACTGTATTTACACATWTCTAACCAACCAGGCTACCCAAAGCACTTCACAACCCAATATGTGTCCTCATTCACCCCTCCACACACYCATACAGCATTTAGTGACTGTGCTCAGTTAACAGTAAACTACGTTACACTATGATCAAAYARGTAGAATTTTATGCACAAAGTTTACACAGCATTTAGTTTTATGTATCTTTTACYGTCTAYYTATGTCAAAGTTAGGCCCCCAATACATTTTCTGCTTAGGGCCCCCAAATGTCTAGGGTCAGCCTTGGTCCCCGCACAGATAAACACAATTTAACCAAATAAATCAACATAACCTGTCTGCACAAAAATTAATAATACCRGTGCTACAATGCTAGAGTTTTAAGATATCAAACTTTTGAACACAACATCATTCAGTGTCAAACTTTAAGAATTTTATCCCTTTAAGCTCAATGAATAATCACATGGCCTTAAATTTGAAAATTAAAACTTCTGAACTTTGTTGTCTCTACTTGAACATTAAAACCCAAATGATTTGTAATAATACAGGCAAACTAGGCTAAAAAAAATAAAATTAAAAGCTATCATTTATATTTAAATTTAATCATYAAATGCATTGATCAAAGCACAATTGTCATAGTCTCGTATCAAATTGAACAAWTTTACGTAATCCAAATCAACAAAACTATTTCTTTTAATTATGTGTAAGATTCAAATTTGCAATTAACTACAAACATTTGTCAATTTTACAGAAAGAACATTACCAGTATTGGTCAAAACATAAGATGTTAAATGAAGATACGCCTTTGGTTCAACGCTGGTCATACAAATATGTTTTAGTGATAACATTGTTGTATTCCAAAAACTAAAGCAGCAGAAAAAGCTCATCAAAATATAACACGCTCCTGCATCAGCTGACCAAATTTAGACAAAACACCTGTCCTGTTTTCTCCCCCAACCCACACACCTGTTGGTCCGTGATGTTGTCTCAGTGACTCGGGTCAGGGATCAGTGGTCAGTGATCACCAGACTTGTCTCCCCTCCGTGGTCCTCTCTGCTCCTCCTGCACTCCTCCACTTAYCTGCTCCTCTCCAGCTAACGTAGCCTAGCATCCACCTGCGCGCTAATAAATATTGCGACATTGCAGAAGCTTATCCAAACAATGCCACAGAGGATGTGTGCTGTAATAAAAGCCGAAATATCCAATGAAATATTAAAGTCTCTGACCTTTTTTTGGTGGCGGTGTATTTGTTCTGTAACTTTTACATTTTTTGATTTTAATCAAGGTATTTTTTAGTATTTTTCTCCTTTCTTTGCAGCATTGGTTCAGTTTATGGTATGTAAAAGTGAGCTAATTATGTTTGTTAAACATCCCTAAAAATTCTCCGTGTACTTTTGTCCTCATCTTTTACACAGATGGAATGAACTGTATGAACAAGGACCACGGCTGCGCTCACATCTGCAGAGAAGCTCCAGGCAAAGGCGGGGTGTCCTGCGAGTGTCGACCCGGCTTTGAGTTGGCCAAAAACCAGAAAGACTGTACATGTATGTATCACATTAAATACCAAATCTCATTGGAGTGCAAATACACATGCCAATATGCTTTTACAGTCAACATTATTTAACATTTGTTTTAATATTTCACACCATGCACAGATGTCGAATCAAATGTTGCATATGATGGAACTCAATACAAAGGCTTTGCTTTGTGTAATTTAAAACCAGTGGTGGGCACCAGCCCGCTAAAGCGCAAATCTGCTAATTGCGGACCTAAATATTTCATTTGCACTTTAGTGGTCTTACTAATTTTTATAATTCATAAGCRGACTTGCGCTTTCTAAAATTAAAATGCAGTACTGCTAATTAATTATCTACCAGTCATCATTATCTTGAACAGAAGAAGGTATGGCTGTCAATGAATCACAACACACATGATCTATCCAACAGCACCCCTCCCAGATAAACACACTTATTGAGAAGGTATACATTTTTGCTGACTGTTGCTTTCGGTCATGGTTCTCATTTCCCACAATGCTTTGTGTCTGCTTACGTAGCAGGAAGGCAATAGCAAAAACAGTTAACGTTTGTAATCCATACTAAAATTTTGTATGTATTGATTTGTTTTATTGTACAATCGTAGCTCCTTTATTAAAAACAAAAATAAAGTTTAAACGCTGGAACTCAGTACTTGAAGTAATTGGTTGAAACAATTGGCCAACGGGATAAGAGACTCAGAAATGATTTAAAGATGTTATGTTGATGACGACTGACATCTAGTGGTCAACTGGAGCAACTACATGGAAAACTTTAAAATCCACGCTCTTATTTTGAAGTAAAGATAGTTTCCTGTACTCCGCTTTTATTTCCCGTCACAAATAAAATCCGTCATGTACCCAGAATGCATCGCTTCAGTTTTCYAATAAACAGTTTTAAAATTAATTTATTGATGCTTCTTTAATGAAAAATCTACAACAAACAAAAGAAAAAGACAAAGAAGCAGCCGAACTAGCAATCCTCAACAACTTTTTAAAGCAGCCAAACTAGCAATCTTCAACAACTTTTTAACTTTTACACCAGGAGCCAAAGTTCTGTTTCAGAAAATCACATCCCCAGCAATCGGCTTAGAATTAAGTTATAAAAGAGTTCATACACCGCTAGTTGGCAGTGTTGTGTATATATTGTACATGAATTGTTGTCAGCTAGAAACTGTCAAATTGAACTTATGCTTTAAAATTAGCTTCCGCTAGTTTTTCTATGGCATAAGCGCTTTTGAAGTTGTGGACTTAAATATTTTCATAAGCGCTTTAGAAATTGCAAAGCTGATTTTTGGATTAGTGCTGCCCACCACTGTTTAAAACAAACAGTAAATATACAGTTTATTCTCTAATTTGTGAGTAGTACGGTTTTATGAAGTACATACTTTCTCTATATGTTAATAACATCTGTCGTGGATAAAGAAATTTCTTCAGTGAAAAAAGTACAAGAGTGAGCTTTTACCGTCAAACTCTTTTGAGCGTATCAACCCAAGCTGGAGGTGCTGAAGGATTCAGTAGGAAGATATTATGACTTCCAACGCTTCTTTACAGCTCACTTTTCATTCTTCAAGTTGAGTGTGGGCAATCATGGAGTGTAGGGATGCTGTATCTAGAGGAACCGTAAGGTTTTAGTTTTTAGATTTTTTACATTCCGTTTTCATTCATATCAAATGACACTCTCACGGTGGCAGAAAAATTACCAAAGAATTCCTGCTGACCACCAGTGACCGCGGGCTACATTGGAACTGCTGCAGTTTGTTTCTGCTGCTTTCTATGCTTGTAATTGCCACAGAAATTCATGCAAGTGGAAGAAATAAAATCAACAGTGCCAAAATAAACTCTCAACTAATTCAGGTTGAACTATATCTATCAGTTTTGCTCTCTAATGTTATTACGAGTGGTTTTTAAACAAAAATTCTTTCATCAAAAAATTTAACTGAATATCCACTCAACTGAGCCAGATACACCATTTGTGACTAAAATCTTAAAGGTTCTAAGAAATTCTGTATTTTTACCGTACCTGACTTTTTTAAAACTTTTGATATGCAACCCTAGCATTTATTATCTGTACTCTCTGTGATGTGCATCCCAGGCATCCCACATTGTTTAAGGCATAAATGGAATGATTAATTTAGGMGCAGTTTCTCAGGGAAAAAAAACAAGGCCCAAAGGATAATGAGAGCAATAACTAAAAAGTTCAGCATGAAGAGTTAGAAGAATTACCATTTATAAAAAGAACACATTGGAATCTATCAATAATGTGATTTTACCTGTTTTAGAGCCATTTCTGTAATCCTAATATTACGGACAGGCATCTGTATTAGAATATTGTGATTAATTGAATCAAATGTAGAACTGAGGTCTAAAAGAACAAGTATAGACATGAATCCACTGTCTGAAGCCATGTGAATATTACTAACACTCATCTTTGCTGTTTCTGTAATGAGTAGCCTTAAATCCTGTCTGAAACTCTTCAGATTATTTCTGTCCAGATGTTGACAAAAATAAAGACAGACTAAGCAGATCCAAAATAGAGATATCAATCAAGGAAAAAAAGCATCTTTGAACAGTCTGCTTGGGATGGGTTCTAGCAGAGCTGTTGATTGTTTGGATGAAGCTATTATGTCTGGCAATTCACRAAGCTCAACAAGAGAAAAACAGTCAAAACGCTAACCAAGTTGTAGTAGCACTTCTAATGGCTGTTTCATTTAACAGGGACACAATGGCTAGAGATGGAACAAATGGCTCCTTGAAGGCAGTGGTGGGCACCAGCCCGCTAAAGCGCAAATCCGCTAATTGCGATCCTAAATATTTAGTTTGCGCTTTAGCAGTCTTACTAATTTTTTTATAATTCATAAGCAGATTTGCGTTTTCTAAAATCAAAATGCAGTACCGCTAATGACTAATTATCTACCAGTTGTCATTATCTTGAACAGAAGAAGGTTTGGCTGTCAATGAATCACAACACACATGATCTATCCAACAGCACCCCTCTCAGATAAACGCACTATTGGAAAGGCATACATCCTTGCTGGCTGTTGTTTTCGGTCATGGTTCTGATTTCACACAATGCTTTGTGTCTGCTTACGTAGCAGGAAGGCAGTGTTTAGTACTCCCTAGCCCAGTAAAAACCGTTAACGTTTGTAATACATACTAAAATTTTGTATGTATTGATTTATTTTACTTTACGATCGGAGCTCCTTTATCAAAAAAAAAAGTTTAAATGCTGGAGCTCAATACTTGACGTAACTGGTCGAAGCAATCGGCCAACGGGGCCAGCTGAAGGGATGCAGAAATTATTTAAATATGTAATGCTGATGAAGACTGACATCTAGTGGTCAACTGGAGCAACTACAAGGAAAACTTTAAAATCTAACCTCATATTTTGAAGTGAAGATAGTTTCCTGTACTCCGTGCTTTTGTTTCCCGTCACAAATAAAATCCGTCATGTACCCAGAATGCATCGCTTTAGTTTTCCAATAAACAGTTTTAAAATTACTTTATTGATGCTTCTGTAAAGAAAAACTACAACAAACAAAAGAAAAAGACAAAGAAGCAGCCGAACTAGCAATCCTCAACAACTTTTTAATTTTTACGCCAGGAGCCAAAGGTCTGTTTCATGAAATCACATCCCCAGCAATCGGCACTTGTAGGATTAAGCTGAAAGAGTTCATGCACCGCTAGTTGGCAGTGTTGTGCATATATTGTACATGAATTATTGCCAGCTAGTAAGTGTCAAATTGAACTTGTGCTTTAAAATTAGCTTCCGCTAGTTTTTCTATAACATAAGCACTTTTGAAGATGCAGACCTAAATATTTTTATAAACGCTTTAGAAATTGTGGAGCTAATCTTTGGATTGGCACTGCCCACCAGTGCTTGAAGAGATCCAGATCTTGACAATTAATTTCATCACATTGTCACAGCCTATGGAAATACCCCCTTAAAACAATTTAGCTCAGGATGGCAACTACTGTGGAAGATCAGTTTGCAAATAGCCCCCCCAAAAAACAACTTCTTTAATGTTAATGTATGTGGCTAATGTCCGGTGCTTATACTCAATTGTCATATTTAGCAGTGGAACACTTTTAGTGTCGGGGCGGCTGTGGCAGAGTAGCTAGGGGAGTCGTTCCTCTAATGTGAGAGTTGGCAATTCTCCGCTAGTCTGTCACATCTCAAAGTTACCCTGGGCAAGGCACTGAACCCCACTGTTTCTGATGTGTGTCCCATCAACGTATGAGTGTGGTTTAAAGCACTGATTAGTCTCTATAAGTTGATTTGTACCTGTTAGTTTTGTWGAGAGATTTAATAGATTGCTTTGTGAATGGGTAGATGAGGACAGGTTTGTAGTGTAAAGCACTTTGAGTATCCTGGTGTGATTGAAAGGCGCTATCTACCATTTACTTTTAAGCAATGGAAAGTTTACCAAAGGCTCTTTTTCTGCACTAATTACAGCCACCTGGCCATAACACCACTGGGCTAATTTATACAGCGTCCAGTGCGCTCTGCTCTTGGAGCTCCAAGAAGCGTGTGTAGGAAATGTGAAATTATGCAATAAATCCAGTGATAAATGTCAAGGAAAATGTGAGAGCAAAATAATTAATTCTGTGGAAGATGAACTCCAAACAGGTGAAACTGTATCACTGTCGTCTTTTTGAAACTTTTGATTTCAAAATAAAATCCACATGTATTATGTGTATATGCATATGCTGCATGCTACGTGTTGCCATCTGCTTCCCAAACAGAATGATACATTTTGGGAGTGTTTTTGTATAAATATAACCATATATTTATTAATATAGCTAGGATTTCAATAAAATTAATCTGACTTTTTTAATTATTTTGAAAATACGGATTTTGTGCTTGTTCCTTTTCCTGTTGGAGGGATCTTTGTAGACTGACTCCGGCGCAGCTCCGGTGTCGTAAAATAGGATCAAATCTAATTTTTATGGATCACCGTCCACTCGTCGCTACTCTATGAGAGGCCCTTTAGGCCATAAATCAAACTTGCTCTCACATGTCCTATCAAACCCTCTCACACATATACTATCAAACTCTCTCACATTTACCATCAAACTCTCTTACATATACTATCAAACTCTCTCACATTTGCTATCAAACTCTTACATATACTATCAAACTCTCTTACATTTGCTATCAAACTCTTTTACATATACTATCAAACTCTCTTACATTTGCTATCAAACTCTTACATATACTATCAA